ACCATGGTTTAAAAGACTATTTGCTTCAAATTGATGCCTGTGTGTAGAAGGCATCTGATATTTCCCCCCTTCCTTTTCACCCTACCCTTCTTTAAACAAAGAGCAGGCTGATGGCTCTCTCAGGTACTCTTCATGAATGCATAGTGAATTTCTTAAATTGCGAAATTTATAAAAGTTGTTAAACTGACTTGCCTGGGGCTGATTAACTTGTACTAATTAGAAATCACCTTATCCTGTGCATGAGATGTATGAATCTGCCTCTCATATTTATAATTTTCAATGATTGATAATGCTCAACTCTAGCTTGAAGAAACAGAAATCGCTGATGAGATTTGTAAATTGATTTCTCCTTTGAAGTAGCTGCTGAATCAATTTTCATTACTGTTTGGCTTGCTCTTCATCTCTATTTTTTTATAAATTATTTAATCTTATTTATTATTATCATTTTTAATTTTCTGTAAGGCATGTGTGTTCACCATAGAGAAAGAGAGAGAGAGAGCAAGCTACCAGGTCCAGAACTTGAGCCATGGTTGGCCATATGGAAGTTTAGCACCTCAACCAACATACCACCTACTGCTCACCTCCATCTCTATTCTTTGAGTTAGAATGATTGGAAGTTTTTAGATGCTGTATTCTTTTTAAAGAGAAAGTATGGAGCCAGCTAGTGGTATGATACTTAAGGTGGCTGAATCCCAAATGCCAGCTGTGAGGTTTGAATCCAGACCTATGTAAAAACATACTGGGTGAGTGTGCATGTGTGCTCAAAATCCTGAGAAAAGGGGAGAAATGCAAAAGAAGGGATTGTGTCATGACCATTCTCCATGGGGGTTGCTTTCTCATCTTCCCTTTCTGTGTCTTTGGTAAATAAAAAAAAAAGAAAGAGAAAACATGATATGCAAAATAATCATAAAGAGTTATCTTCTGAAGTTTTGCACCCAAATGTTGTCCACAAAAGTATGTCCTTTGTAGTGGATGCAATTGGTGTGCCAGCTGGACCATGCAGTGCTCAGCTGCTGTGGTTGGTAGCTCTGAGTTAACACCTTCTCTGGAAGATTGCCCTTAGAGCTGCTTTACTAGTCAGACAGGTGATATTTGTGATGTTTTTCTCCCAACAAGGGCTAGCAATGACTGACAGATGGAAGATGGAACAGCCCAGCTTCCTTCCTTTAGTGTAAGAAAACTGACTTGGTACAATTCACCGTCCATAACTCCCCATAGAATCAACTTGCAGCTGACTCCCTCCTCTTTCCTATGGTATTTTCCCTGCTTTCCTCATGCCCTGACAAGTTTCTCCAAGGAATATTCCCTCAGTCAATCACTTGTACTATAGCCCCAGCCTCTAATTCTGAAGAGTTCAATCTAAGACACTAACTACTTAACAAGTAGACTCTAGATGAAATTAGGTTCTGAAGACAAAAGAGCAAATTTTAGGCTACTATCCACTGGAATTACTACTACTGTCATTAGTAATTAGTTCTCACAACACATAGGTATTGCTCTTTTTTCTCCTATTTTCAGAACTTTATAAGCTAGGTAAATATAACGATAAAATTTCTACATGTTTAAATCACTTTCACTGACAGTTTGAGTTTCTCTGCTTTCATAAACCTTTGCCATTCTGATTGTCCAGATGTGAGTTCTTCATCCCTGTGCCTTCTCTGATTTACCTTTTCTGCTTGAGACTGCACTGTAATTTTTTGGGGTCAGAACCAAGCTTCCAGGTGATGCTGATGCTGTTGGTCTAAGGACACTCTTCAAACAGCACTAATATTCTTATAGGCCATCATTAGAACTTTGGCTTTGCTATGTTTGGGTTTAGCATTCAACTCCAGATATACTCAGTCACTTGAATGTCCCCCTCATACAATCAATTATCCTTCAAACATGTTGTTGAGTTGTTAAAATTAATGTGAACATTTCATATGTGGGGAAAGAGAATTGCTAGAACCTGACATTAACACTTGGCCTCAGTTTATGTTTGCAAATGGTAGAAGGTGATCACAGGATGCTACTTTCTATCAAACTGACATTTAGAAATTGTAGAGTTCACTAGAATGAAAATGGAAAGTTAAAGCCTCTGAAAAATCTTTTATCACAGATTAATTTTCTTTGTTCCCTCATATTTAAGAAAGCAAGAGTCCTGTAGTCAATGACGGAAACCAAATGTCTTCTTATGAGGAGCTAACTTGAAAGATTTCCACTGGACCAATCAGGGACAATCTGAGCATTAAAATAAATCATGATAGCAAAGGATTCTATAGGAGAGGAAAACCTTTTCTTCTATCCTTTTAGGTTCAATATTTGAGGTCTGAGAATTGAACTAACAAAGGCAGATTAATAGGAGAAAAAAAGTTTCTTTGTGAGTCCAATGGCTTAAATATTGGAGAACACGGTGATGAGTAACACAAAGCCATAGTTGGAGTTTGGAGTTTACCTCTATTCTTAATAGATGAAAAAGGAGGGGGAGAAGCACTTATGTGAAAAAAATAGCTTTTAGAAAGATAGGTGGCTTTCAGGAGAACAAATAGATAAGAAAGTTTGTGATAATGCTTATTAGTAGAGGTCTAAGTGATCTTTCCATGTCTTTGATGGACATAAAACTCCTCTAGAGAAGGGATTTAGGGTAAGTGTGTTTTTGTTCCGCCTTCTGGAAGTAGATTAGCCCTGAGAGGAATTGATGGCAATCTCATAGCCCAAAAGTTGGTGCTTTCAGTCAGATAAGCAAAGCTGTGAGAAGCACCACACCTCCTCCCCCACATATGTTGAATTTCGAATATATTTTTTCTTAAAATAATCGTTATACTAACTTCAGATTTCTGAATTAGTCATAACTATAACCCATAAAATAACTTTTTAAAATGCTTACATTCATACTGATTTAAATACATAAGCTAATGGTAAAGATGAGAAAGGTCTGCCCAGTGGTAGAAAGTCAACTAAGAAATGCAAAGAATGATGAATTTACAAAATGATGGCCTCTATCACTGTAAGCATTATTTCAGACAAGAATCATCCATGGATGCTAAAATTAGTGGGTGGAAGTAATGAAAAAAAGAAATTTACATCGTTTTGGAGGATCTAATTATTATTCAATTCAAAAGAAATTAACTTTATTTTAAGTATAAAAAGAATGAACAGTAATGGAGAAGTCAGGTATATATATCACTTTAACCAAAGGTTAACATTTACAAAGATTATATGGTCTCTGAACATCATTTGCCTTTCAATAGGATGTACTAAGGGTGCAATATCATATATGTGATGTCACTGCCTAAAATGTGTCACCTGAATTTATTCTTAAGGAAATATAAAGGAAACTAAATTGAGGAATTTTGTTTTTTATATATGAAGCTATGAAAACCACAGAGTGTTCTAAGCTAAGAGAGAATAAATAGATTTGACAACTGACCACATCCTATCACCTGAGATTTTCTTTTGCTATAAAGGATATTATTGGGACGAACAGCAAAATCTGAATAAGGTCTATAGAGTACATACTTCATTAAAGTGTTAATTTCCTGATTTTGACAAGTATAATGTTGCTATATAAAATAATCTCCTTGCTTTTAGGAAATATACATTAAAGTATTTATGGGTACGGAATATCATGTCTTCAACTGATACTCAAATAGTTCAGGAAATGAAAGTACATACATAGTGAGAGAAAGAGATAAAACAACTGTGATAAATAGTTCTCAGTTAGATAATTTAGGTAAAGGGTGTACTTATTGGTAAAATTCTTGCAACTTTTCCATAAATCTAAAATTCAGTTAAAATAAAATAATACTGAGAGACAAACGAACACACCAAAATCTCATAAAACAAACAAAATTTAGTTCTAATAGCAAATCTCCAGGCTCCAAGTACAAAGCTTATAAGCAACCCCAACTCAGTCTTGGAGTCCCCAGAGTGGTAACCCAGGATAGCAGCTTCACTCTTTCACTCCATTTTCTTCCCCACTGGTTACTGTTAAATATGCCTCTGTGTTTGGAAAGGGACGAATTTAAAGGAAGAGTATTTCATCTGTTTAAGGCTAACAGAGCTGTAATGTGATCTGTCCATGGGGCCTGTAGATATTTTGAAACTCCTGCCCAAAACTGATGGGTGGTGCCTCCACTAGCTTTTAACTCAGTATTACATCTCCAGAGAAGATTGATTTTAAGTCTCAACTTTCTTAGAAAACAGTGCCTAATAAATTGATCAAATCTTAATCTTACACGTTCCTGTGAAGGAATTGTGTAGATGCAATTTAACATCTATAATTTGTTGACTTTGTTTAGAGCAGGGGAAGAGAAAAGTGAGACAGGGAAGGGAAACCCATAATGAAGGGTTTGTTATCTAATCACCACCATGAGCAATATGATCTTATTCCTACAACAGAGCTCTAGGCGTGAGAGTATGCACATCCTAACAAAGGTAAGGGAGCTGGGGGTGTTAATGCACTGCATCTTCAGTCACTATTGAGAGCGTCTTCCATGGAGATACAAATTCTCAGGCACTTTTGCCTATGTACAAGTTTAAGTGTCATACCTAAGGCATATGGCAGTCAGGCCTGTAAGCATGCCAATCTCAGGGCAAAAAAGAAATTGTGGCATACTAACAGTGTCTGCTGGAGATGGCAAAAGTTTATTTGAAAAACAAACCAAACAAACAAACAAGTTTATCTGATCCAAGATATTTAACACACATAATTTATAATCATGCCTGGAAAACAAACTCATTACTTAAAGGATTAAATATGATTTCTCTTTCCTAATCTTAAATAGTTTTCACTAATTTTCACTAGAATTGTATATTTAAATAGACATAATGATGTACATCTTGTCAATGCTTATTACCTAAATGCCATGTGTTCCATTGTATTCTTAAAGCGGATTGGCGGATTTATCCAGAATGGCGTAACATTCATTGAAAAATGAAATACATCCTCTCTAGAGAGCTCAGCAAGTTTATAATTGTTAAAGCAAAAAGAAATATTTGGTAACAAATTTCTAGTGCATGAATTGCTTTGATGGAAATATTTACTTTCTCCAAAAATTGGTCCCTGAGCCTCAGAGCATATAATTACCCCAATAAGCCAGTGTTGTGATTTAGATCTTCAAGGCAGCTTCCAATGTTCGAGCTTTCTCTGTAATGTTCTTCTGAAAAGGCATCATGAAATCCTCGAAGTCCACTTCATAAGTAAACCTCTCTCGCCGTAATTCCCTCTTCTTGATCAGCTCTGCTGTTGTGGCTTCAGGACTCCAAATCTTAAATAAATAGCCACAGTCAAGTAGTTAGAACAGCCAATAGATATGCTTCAACCCAGACCATTTTCAATTTGTAGTTTTAATTTAAAGACAACCCTACCCCCATGACATTAGAGATTATATGAACATTCCTATTTCTGACATGACTATCTGGAAAATTTAATTCAAAATGCTCTTCAATTACTTCTTCAGCAGTTACTCTTTGGTCAGCAGCTATCCATTTGTAGGATGTCAAATAGGAAAGCAAAGAGATTCAATGACCTGGGTTTACTACCTTTATGTCTTATGTGTAAGTCAAAATTATTTTTATAACAAAAAGCAGGGGGAGCTGCTTATTCAGCATGTTCTGATACATTGGAAAGACAACTCTTTTCTCCCAAAGATGACTTCACCTCTTTAACTATAAATATCTTAGGAGGCTACTGAATAAATCCAGTCTTGATTAGTACAAAACTATCAAGTGAGATGATAGTAGTGGTTATGAAGAGGAAGAGTTGGGTCTGAGAAATAGTAAAAAAAGTATCCAAAAGACACAATGACTAAATGGCTATAGGAAATGCCGTTGGCCAAAGAAGACTTCAGACTTTCAAGTAAAAATTAAATGTTGACATAGAAATAATAACAGAGGAAACCAGATATTGAAAGCTTTGAGTCAAAAGTCATAGGTCCTGACAAAAGGACATGCACAGACAGTAATTATGAAAGATAAACATTGGACATTTGTTTTGATGATATGTATAGAAGGCATTTGAAGAATGACATTATGGTTTTGCTATGCTATGAAAAGCTTTCCAGGGACCAGCAGTTAGCATAAGAGCTGCTTATTCAGCATGTTCTGATACATTGGAAAGACAACTCTTTTCTCCCAAAGATGACTTCACCTCTTTAACTATAAATATCTTAGGAGGCTACTGAATAAATCCAGTCTTGATTAGTACAAAACTATCAAGTGAGATGATAGTAGTGGTTATGAAGAGGAAGAGTTGGGTCTGAGAAATAGTAAAAAAAGTATCCAAAAGACACAATGACTAAATGGCTATAGGAAATGCCGTTGGCCAAAGAAGACTTCAGACTTTCAAGTAAAAATTAAATGTTGACATAGAAATAATAACAGAGGAAACCAGATATTGAAAGCTTTGAGTCAAAAGTCATAGGTCCTGACAAAAGGACATGCACAGACAGTAATTATGAAAGATAAACATTGGACATTTGTTTTGATGATATGTATAGAAGGCATTTGAAGAATGACATTATGGTTTTGCTATGCTATGAAAAGCTTTCCAGGGACCAGCAGTTAGCATAATGGCTACATCGCTGGACTCCCATGTAGTCAACCATGGTTCAAGTCCTGGACTGGGTGGCTTAAAACTCATGCCTGGCGTGTGTACATGCGTGCCCAAGATCCCAAGAAGAGAATGGAGGAGAAGGGATTGCAGCCTGGCCATTCCCCCTGGGGGATGATTTCTCGCTTTCTGTCTCTTTGTCTCTCTGGCAAACGCACGTACCCTATAGCAAAAACCTTGCCAAAAAAAAATTTTCCAAAATATACTTACCCGTCGTGGAATAAATGTGATATCCACTCTTTTGGTATAACCACTGGCGATCAATGAATTGAGATAAACCACATTATCTTTATGTTGTGCCTTTTCCTCTGATACCATTGGTACAGCATAAATGGATGAAAATGGTTCCTGGAAATAACAAAAACAAACCAAAACCCCAAACTGTAAGTTGCAAAGATGTGTCATTTTTAATATTATTTGTTTATCTTTGTCTCACTCTGTAGTTAGAAAAAAAACAAAAACTAAAACTAAAAACGCTATTATAAGAAGTTATAATTGAGATACATAGGATATTATAACTTTGGCTAGGGAGATACAAGGAAGAGATCATTTATTTGCCCTGCTTAGCACTACTTAGTTTATAGTATCACAATTCAGATAACAAAAGCCTTCAAGATACCCATCCTTGACCTGTGGCCACTCATTAATCAGAAGGACGGACTCCTATTAAAATAATGGTGCATGTAATAGGAGCTTTAGCTGATTGATTATGTATTTTAGTTCTTGCCATCCTGACTAATATCTTCCATGCTTATAGTTTTCTACTGTCTGCCTACAATCCCTTCACCTATCTATTTCCTACTAGCTACATTTAGCATTTCTTTCCAATTTGATGACATTAAAGCTTTTTCCTCTTAACTTCCATCTCTTGCTCTGTGTCTGCCAAGAATCTCCATCAAACCTCCAATTTCCCAAAAGAAACATCCAGCCTGGAATGCACAGTCAATGGCAAATCTTGAAGTCATAGAAATCCTTATGGGCAACAACTTCAATCTTTTCTTGATATTTTAGAGGTACTTAAACCACTTCAGATTACTAAGAACAGTCAATGTGGCACATTTAAAACCCAAAGTCATTGTGCAGAATACCCAAGTTATAAATAGATTCATATCCCAGAGTTTAGTGTTAGTCATTAAAATTCTTTGGTGGAATTGGAAGTAAGTAAAGTGAGCAATAAAACGTTATGAAACCAAAATGAAGGAAAATAATGCTTTTTCTTTTTTTCATTCCTCACTAGGATTACCCTCTTTCTCTGGCTATCTCATCAATTATGTACAATTTAGGAACAAATATATATATCTATATATATCTATATATCTATATATCTATATATATATCCATATATATATCCAGTATATATATATATATATATATCCATATCCAACATTCTAGTTGTTTTTGGCTGGATAAATTTGATTTTTGTGTGGATTCTATTTGCAATGAGCAATTTTTAGACTCTTCACTAATAGGAATTTTCTTGCTAGGTATTTCTGTAACATTACTATATGATGGTGCTACGAGTATGCATTGCATATTACTTTACCCATAGTGTGTAATAATATGTAAACAGTGATGCCACCCACTCCCCCAGCAAGATTTTGAGGAGTTCTAGGAACTAATGGGTAGTTAACTCTTTTCTTTCTTTCTTCTTTTTTTTAGGAGATTAGAAACATCTCAATTTTACTCTTGAAACAAAGATAAAACAAAATTAAACGAAATGCTCTCCCACATTGTTTATTTCTTTCAATCACTGTATATCTTTCCTTTTAGATTTTTTTGAATTTTTAAAATTTTATACATTTAATCATACATAACTTAGCGTGTGACTTGAATTTACATGACATGAATACACATCAGTCCAGTCAAGGATACAAAACACATTATCATCAATAGATAATAATCCATTTCTGTGTCCTATAAATGCCTTTTCTGTTTTCCTCCTTAATTTCTAGTTAACTCTTTTCTTACCTCTTCTTTCTTAATTTCAGTGCCTTCCGTCTTCTGTTTAAGAGGTGGCTTGCCCTTCAGTTTTTGATTTTCTGCTGGTTTTGGCATGTTATCTAGCTTTTCTTTAATCAAATCAATTATTCTATAGTCAGCATAAGCTTTTGCAACATCCATGGCACTATGCCCTGTTTGAAAAATAAATATAAATTCAAAGTTCAATAAACAGATTAATTATAAACAAACTTGGCACGTTAGCCTTAAGCATGTGGTAGTAAGGGTTATTATGAAAGCAAATGAATAGTATATGGAAGTTCACAAGAGAGACCAGATAATTTCTATGATAGATTTAGGTCTAAAATCCCATGAATTAAAATAGCACATACTGTTATAAAACTTAACATCTATCATAATATTTTTGACTATTTTTTTTAATTGATTGGAAATATTAGTGCTGCAGATTTTTTTCTTTTTTTAAGAGAGAGATTTTCACTATAGCGTACATATGTACTTGCTGGAGAGACAGAAAGTGAAAAATCACTCCCTAGGAGGATGACCATGCCACAATCCCTTCCACTCCTCCATTCTCCTCTCAGGATTTGGGGCACGCATGCATACACACCCAGCATGAGTTTTAAGTTGCCGGGCCTGCGACTTGAACTATGGTTGACTCCATGGAAATTTAGTGACATAATCATTACGCCATATGCTGGTTCTAACATATTTTATTTTGAATATCCAATTGGCAGTTCTCTTCCAGCGTTGTGCAAACTTCCTTTTGTGTGATAATTTTGCATTATTTTTTCCTTCTTGTGATACAACGATACAAATTCCAAAAGCCTAGGGAAGCTGGTGGTCACAAGGGCTTTAGATAGACATCTGAATATTATCTCACCTGTGTTTGTCATCAGGAAGGCCTGTGCTATACCACTGGTGACTCAGAGGCAGTTTGCAGCAGCCAGAGATAATAACGCTCTCTTAGACCCAAAGGAAGCAATAAGTCCCATTATAAGAAAATGACAACTCCAAACAAGGGATACATATATTTATTCAAATATTTTTATTCTTTATGTGTAGTATTTATGATATCAGATAGGTAACCTGTTTACTTCCCAGAGATGAGGAAACCTTAGTTTAGGAATGATTTTGTCCATTTTTATATGGAATCCAAAGTCTACATAGTTTTTAGACTATAACCTAAAGTCTTTGACTTAGGCTTTACATAGTCTTTAAACTATGCCAATTATTGGGAACTAGCAGTTAGCGTAATGGCTATGTCGCTGGACTCCCACATAGTCAACCGCGGTTCACGTCCCGGACCTGGTGGCTTAAAACTCACGCCGGGCACGTGTGCGTGCATGCCCAAGATCCCGAGAGGAGAATGGAGGAGAAAGGATTGTGGTATGACCATCCTCCCTGGTGGGTGATTTCTCGCTTTCTGTCTCTCTATCTCTCTCTGTCTGTCTGGCAAGCGCACGCGACCTATAGCGAAAACCTCTCCAGGAACACATACTGTTATAAAACTTAACATCTATCATAATATTTTTGACTATTTTTTTTAATTGATTGGAAATATTAGTGCTGCAGATTTTTTTCTTTTTTTAAGAGAGAGATTTTCACTATAGCGTACATATGTACTTGCTGGAGAGACAGAAAGTGAAAAATCACTCCCTAGGAGGATGACCATGCCACAATCCCTTCCACTCCTCCATTCTCCTCTCAGGATTTGGGGCACGCATGCATACACACCCAGCATGAGTTTTAAGTTGCCGGGCCTGCGACTTGAACTATGGTTGACTCCATGGAAATTTAGTGACATAATCATTACGCCATATGCTGGTTCTAACATATTTTATTTTGAATATCCAATTGGCAGTTCTCTTCCAGCGTTGTGCAAACTTCCTTTTGTGTGATAATTTTGCATTATTTTTTCCTTCTTGTGATACAACGATACAAATTCCAAAAGCCTAGGGAAGCTGGTGGTCACAAGGGCTTTAGATAGACATCTGAATATTATCTCACCTGTGTTTGTCATCAGGAAGGCCTGTGCTATACCACTGGTGACTCAGAGGCAGTTTGCAGCAGCCAGAGATAATAACGCTCTCTTAGACCCAAAGGAAGCAATAAGTCCCATTATAAGAAAATGACAACTCCAAACAAGGGATACATATATTTATTCAAATATTTTTATTCTTTATGTGTAGTATTTATGATATCAGATAGGTAACCTGTTTACTTCCCAGAGATGAGGAAACCTTAGTTTAGGAATGATTTTGTCCATTTTTATATGGAATCCAAAGTCTACATAGTTTTTAGACTATAACCTAAAGTCTTTGACTTAGGCTTTACATAGTCTTTAAACTATGCCAATTATTGGGAACTAGCAGTTAGCGTAATGGCTATGTCGCTGGACTCCCACATAGTCAACCGCGGTTCACGTCCCGGACCTGGTGGCTTAAAACTCACGCCGGGCACGTGTGCGTGCATGCCCAAGATCCCGAGAGGAGAATGGAGGAGAAAGGATTGTGGTATGACCATCCTCCCTGGTGGGTGATTTCTCGCTTTCTGTCTCTCTATCTCTCTCTGTCTGTCTGGCAAGCGCACGCGACCTATAGCGAAAACCTCTCCAGGAAAAAAAAAAAAAAAACTATGCCAATTATTAGGGATTAACAGTCATAATGGTGTGATATCTCAAGGTTCAACCTGCAGACTAGTGCAAGTCCACAAACTAATCATTACTAGTCCACAATGAAGGAAGAACAGACTAAGGGTTTACGATTTTTATAGCAATTTAATCTAATGATTTTCTATCATTTGAATCTAATGATTAAAAATCATTTTGGCTTATAACTTATGCTTTTTACAATTTCACTTTTCCAGTGAATAATTTTTATTGGTTTTTACAAGAGTATCAGTTTATGACACATTATAAAGAACTGGCTCTTCAACACCAATAATATGTGAAACACTAAGTATGAAACAAATTTCCCTAACATTTAACTCTGGCTTGTGCTGGCACCAGTAACCCAAGGGAAAATGTTCTTCTATAAGAACAGAAGCCAAAGGAATTTGGAGTCTAAAATTAATTCTTTTTCAAACTTAATCATCTCTAATATGAATACATACCTTTTCTATTTTCCAGCTGGAATTTAGCACCAATATCAAGTAGGTATTTTACAGTATCCAGTCTACAGCTTTCAATGGCTCTACTTAAAGGAGTTGAGTTATTGATAGAAAGTGCATCTATTAAAGCTCCAGATTTGACTAGCAGCTCAACAATGTCTTGTTGACCTGCGTGACATGCAAAATGGAGTGGAGTCCATAGAAAATTATCTGTTGCATTAACATTAGCCCTGTAAAATAAGGCAGATGTTCAAACTAAAAATATTGGTTGTTGCAAGCAGTGGATGCTGAAAATACAAATTAAGATTATATATAGTTTTATCAAGTGATTAGTTGTTAACCAAGTAAATTCTGCATAAAATTAAACTCTGCTGTATTTTTTATTGAAACCTCTTTGTTCTGCATTATTTGACAGTCTTAGCTTTCTTAATTACATATACTATAAAAGACACTTAGATCCTAGGGATTACAATTTTTACAAAGGTTAAAAAATCAAGGAAAATTATAAAACTGCTTCTAGTAAAGACAAAACAGACAGGAAATATAAAACTTATATTATTCCATTTTGTGTCTACTTTCTCTGCATGTTATAAATTTTTAAATGAAACTCCATTATTAAAATTCTAAGCATTATAATGTATTATTTAAGCTTTTAGTCCTATTTAGAAATGCACTATCCCAAAATTCAAATTCTCATTCGTTCCTGTAAAGTCCTCTTGATAACATACAAATGTCATATTTTCTTCAACATTAAACATTATAGTAATAATAACACTTATACCTTTGCTCAAGTATGCCATTACTGTGCTAAGTGCTTTACATATTTCAATATATTTCAATTCATTTAATTTTCAACAAATTTTGTAAGTCCCGTTTTTTTTTCCCATTAAATATATGAGAAAATGGAGGCACAAAGATGTTAAGAAACTTACCCCCAGTCATACAACTGTGATAGAAAGAAAAAAACCTAAACAAATGTTTTAGTTTAAAAAGCCAAGTTAAAAAGTCATGTTTTGATATCTTAAAGACATTTTAAAATGAGCCACGGAAAAGATAGCCCTCGTTGGAGGAAGACAGAGGGTTTTAGAGGAACTAAAACAGGCCCTTCATCATTATGGTCACCATCCAGCTTGTCTGAATTTGTTGGGATGCCCACAAAGAAAAGATGCAGATTAAAACGTGACTCCACACCATCTAGGTGAAGCTCTTACACCAAAGTGAGTGGCCTGCTACTGACAGGCCAGTAATACCCACTCTGAAAAGTCCTCCTGCCCCAAGAAAACTTGTTGGCTTTCATTTTGTGTATGATTCTTACTGGCAAACTGTCTTTGTGCATGTACGATCCTATATGCCTATTAGCCTTGTGACTCAGATCTATTTAATAAGGACTTCAGTATGAAGCACTTTTTCATACTACTAAAATTCTGAAACTGAATGTTTGTTTCTTTGTAAGATAGAGGGCACATGCACTCGCCAGAGAGAAAGAGAGACAAAGTGGGTGAGAAAGCACTCCCTAGTGGGTGTAGTCAAGCCACAATCCTTTCTCCTCCATTTCTCCATCCTATTGGGATTTGGGGAATGACACACATGTGCCTGGCATGTTTTATACGCCACTAGGGCCAGGATTTGAAATGCAGTGTTGGCCATGTGGGCTCAGACTCCCGTAACCACCAGGCCACCAGACTAGCCCCTGAATGTCTCTTAAGGCCTTTGGTTCACATCCATGAAATATAAAAATATAAAACTCAGAAACCAGCAGTTAGCGTAATGGTTATGTCGCTGGACTCCCACGTAGTCGACTGCAGTTTGCGTCCCGGACCCGGTGGCTTAGAACTCACGCTGGGTGCTTGTGTTTGCATGCCCAAGTTCCCAAGAGGAGAATGGAAGAGAAGGTATTGTGGTGTGACCATCCCCCCTGGGGGGGTGATTTCTCTCTTTCTGTCTCTATGTCTCTCTCTGTCTGTCTGGCGAGCGCACACGCCCTATAGCAAAAACCTCTCAAACAAAGAAAAAAATATATAAAATTCACTCAATCAAAAAACATACCCTTTCTCAAGAAGAAACTTGACTACGTCTATGTTTCCACAAGCACAGGCTGTCATAAGTGGTGTTTTGTAATAATTATCCTTCATATCCACAGGTATTCCTGATTCAAAAGCCTTTTTCAGAGAAGCCAGGTCTCCTGCCTTGGTGATAAAATTAATATTTGAAAATACTTTCCCTGGATCATCAATGTACCAAGCAGAGTCATCCTGAATGGGATGTTTTGGTGGACGATCTCTATTAAACCGACTGCTATCTGTTACATTCTCATAGGTTTCAATCATGTAATACGGTGGCCCACCATCCAGGCGGCGTGGAAATGCAGTCTCAGGAATGACACAGATGGGAAAGGGTAAAACAAATTTGCCTTTTTTCCCCTTTCTGCCTATCCCTTTTTTCCTTTTCTTAGGCCCAAAAGATCCCAAGACAAATGATTTGTGTAAGTATCTGATTCCTTTGAAGAACTCATTGATGTTGACCCCTCCTCCTCGGACTTTTTCATGCATTGTAGCTATGGAAGCCAGTTGTTCTGAGTTTGCGTAGTCTTGCCTCTCTTCCAGTGTCAGCACAAAGTCCTCTCTAGACACAGTCCCATCACCCTTGTCCACAAACGAAAAGGCTTCTCGAAGGAAAGACTCATGTTCTACTGACCAGTCATGTAGGCGAAGGGCCCATATTGGATTAGGATTTTTCGCTCCTGGTCTGGACAGTTTATTAGCAATTCGCTCTGCCCGACGTATTTCCTTGCTTGCTGCTTTGAAGCCACCTTCCTTTGCCACAGTCCTGGGTGTTTTATGATCTAAATTCTTCCATTTAAGGTCACATCCTAAAACATAAAGCATTGTTATTACAATGGTGCTAAGGCATCTGCATGGCCCTGCAAATAACATTCATCCAACTGCTTTCTTAATTTTGAGTGATTGCTCTAAAGTGTATCCCTAAATGATATTTGTATAGGAAGAGCACATTTAGCTATTATTATTAAAGCATTGGGGCCAGCGGCTGGTGGTTAAGGTGCTGGACAATTTCACATGGCTGATCATGGTTCAGTTTTGTACCTGGTGGCTTGCTTTCTCAATTTCCCTCTCTCTCTCTGTTTCTCTCTGGTAAAATAATAATAATAATATGAATAAATAAAATTAAAGAAATAGTTCTTTAACAAATAGAATTACAGCATTAAGCTGTGATTTTTTTTTTCTATAAGCTTTACTTAGGTGAATTCGGAGGGAGAAAATTCACAATTTATATGATCTGGCCACAAAGTATAAGGACATTTATTCCTAGAGATACTTGAAGGAAATGTTATATTGAGATACTTGCTACAGAGATTTCATGCCAACAGGAAAAGAACAAGGTATATTTGAATTTGGAATGAAGAAACAAGATTCATACACTTACATAAGACCTGATAAACTCAGAATGCTGACCTTATCTGCTTCTTTTGAATAATTTAGACTGTTTATTCATACGATCTTAAAGTATATTTTATCTGTATTTTTCATTAAATTAGCCTAATTTATACTCATCTGTGTTTTGTGATTTTCCTCCTTAAAAGTAAAAAAAAGCTATTTCTTAATCAGGTCTGAGGATTCTAGTATTATATTTGCATGCAGGTTGGAAGGCAAAATACATTTTGCTTTTAAATCCTCCCTTAATTCAAATGATAAGACTGACATTATTATTATTTTTCAATTGTCATGCAATTTATGGGATCACCAGAGAGAGAGAGACAGGGAGACAGAGAGAGAGGGAGAGAGAGAAAGCACCCCCCCCACCCCCCTAAAATGGAGCATGGTCATGCCACAATCCCTTCTCTTACATTTCTCCATTGTTTCAGAATTTTAGGCACACACATACACACACACACACACACACACACACACACACACACAACTGCCACATTTGTCAAGTCTCTGGGCTAGAATTAGAACTGTGGTTGTCCATGTAGAATCCAGCTCCCTTGACCACTAGGCTAAGGGGCTGATCCTCAACATTATTTGTAAATAGTTTCCAAATAAATGAACTCTTACAAATGCCTGAGAAATATATTTAGTGCTACCAAGAAGGCTATGTAAAACATAATAGATGTCTTGAGACATCAAAAATCCAATAGATGTATAAATAAATTAGGCCACAAAGGAGCTCTTTCTAGTGTTTAAAGGCTCTTCTGTTGCTTTGCCAGCATCACATGATCAAAAAAGATTGGTATTCAATCAGTATATCTGCCATACCAGAATGTATAGGCAGTTGTATACAAAAATAATACATACTGTTTCGACACTTTACTTTTTTTTTTTTTCTTTTTTTGTCAAAAAGGTGTTTTCCTTGATGGGCACAGTAAGATTCATAGTATTATTTTACATTTTTATGTTTGAGAGAACAACAAAAAAAAAGGCCTTAAAACCAAAACAAGAAAAAAATCATCCATATTTTTCAAGATTAACAATTTCTTTAACATTGTCAAAAAGTACATTTTTATACAAAGGTTGATAATTGTATTAATAACAGAAAAATTCAAAAAGGGTATTGGAATGCACAATTCCAAAATTTCATTTTTTGGAAAATTTTAGGAGCAGTGATTTATTGGGAAGGGGACCCAGCTGTAGTAAGTGGGGACTCCAAAAACTTATAGAAAAATGGAATTAAAGTATAGTTCATTTTAAAGCAAACAAAACCGAAATCCATTCAGAGTATTTTCACTATATGCATTTTCTATGAAATTTTAAAAGGCTAGTATAATACCACAGCATAGTAATTCCATAGTAATTCTAGTTTTCTCTTTTTATTTAGCTATTTTGCTTATTTGGAGTATCTGTGGTTTTATTTACCTCCTTTCACATCACTCTTTATATTTACTCCTGCATTAAGGATTTAAGAACTTTGAACTTACTGTAGCTTTTCTCTTCTGCTTCTAGTTTCCTCCTACTTATAATCTTTGATGTGGAAAAAAGGGTCCAATATCCCCACTTAAAAGTTCTGAAGGCATTTTTCGTTTCTTTTCTTCTCCTTTTTAGAGAGAGATTTTTGCTATAGGGAGCATATGCTCACCAGAGAGACAGAGAGACAAAAAGCGAGAATTCACCCCCCAGGGAAGATGTCCATGCTGCAATCCCTTCTTCTCCCTTCTTCTCTTGAGATTTTGGACCTGCATGCACACATGCCCTGCATGAGTTTTAAACTGCTGGGTCCGGGACTCTCAACTATGTGGGAGTTCAGCAACGTAACTGTTTTGCCATCTGCTGGTCCCTTTTTATCCTTTTGACGTAGGACTTGTCCTCTCTTTTATGATTAATAAATCAAAAATCCATTCTTTCCCTTTGTGATTTCTGGTCCTTCACGATAAAGATGCTCAACTTACAGCTGACTGGTGCCACAGAACACAGGGAACCAAGGGCTGATGAGGAGAACCTTCAGGAAGCCCTCAGGAGGACTTCTCTGAACCACCCTCTGGTGCCCTTGGATATGACTCCTGCCTGCCTACAGGGGGTTGTAAATTGCTCCAGCTACAGGACTACAATATTCACTCCATAGAGAGCATATTCAGGGAGATATTTCAAGGTGGGGAACTAATCCAGCCAGCATAAATGATTTACATTGAAGTACAGAAGAGACTAAACTTAGGGAGTTTGTTCAGAAATGAGCACCATTGCTAATGCTTTCTTGTTGTGCTGGCTGCCTTAAATAGAAGACTCCAATGGTAGAAATGGAAGATATTAAGATAACACTTCTGCTGTGGATTTGGGTCACCCACATGGGACCTAGTGATATGGTTGTCTTCTCGAACATGCTAAAGAACTTGAACATTTTCAGACATTTCCTTTAGACATAGTCTTATGATTCTTGAAAGAAAATAGATCTTTTCTGCATCTTGGGCAAGACCTTTCTGCATGACCTATACTACTGGGTTGTTGGAAAAATTATGACACATATTTTGCACAGAAAAACAGAAAAAATGCCTGACTTTTCTGACAACCCAGTGTGACTATTAATATTATAAATATAAGGTCTGCAAGAACTTCCTGCATGACGCAAGCTCTGGCCTTTAGTTTCTCAATGTGCTTTCTGTGACTTTATATCAGAAATACATAAATGATAGAGTACATGTGTGGTGATATTTGTCCCAATAAAATATAAGTCCACATATTAAACTAAGGCAGATCTTCAGTTTTCAGAAATACACAAAGTTGGGATGAATAGTTAGCATAATGGCTATGCCACTGGACTCCCATGTAGTTGACCGCAGTTCAAGTCCCAGACTTGGTGGCTTAAACTCACACTGGGTGCATGTGTGTGCGTGCCCAAGATCCAGAGAGGAGAACGGAGGAGAAGGGATTGCGGCGTGGCCATCCTCCCTGGGGGGGGAGGGGGTGATTTCTCGCTTTCTGTCTCCCTGTCTCTCTTTGTCTCTCTGGTGAGCACATGCGCCCTATAGCAAAAACCTCTCCAAAGAAAGAAAATAAAAGAAATACACAAAGTTAAAATATTAGAATAAACTGCTATTAGTGGCAGATTGGAAAACAAGAGAAGACAAATTTTTGTCAGAGGACAAAAACTACATTTGATATATTTTTCTTTCCTCATTTGTTAAAAAGTTTTATTATTTGAGGGGATTATTGTTATTAGTTTTCAAGGAAATATGAAAGGTATGAATTTATAAAAGTGAAAATGGATCAGCTATGTAGGCATGTTAGATTATAATATTAATGGGTATACTCTAGGATCTTAGGTCTTAGTGACTTCTAAAATTCTATGCCTATGTAGAGGAAAGAAAAACATGTATTTTCTCTGTTTTATTAAATTTTTGCCTATTTATCATAAGTTGGAAAGAAATGTACAAAACTCAGCAAAGTACAATTCCTTTGCTAGCAGAGTATAAATAACTTAATATACAGTTAGCATGTAAATAACAACAAATTGATGTGTAGTTTTTAGCTTAACTAGTTAATAGTTTCATGTTAAGAAACTCACTGTGGTATAGATACCAATTTATATTCTTAAATTAATAGTTACTTTAAAGTTAGAAGACAATATAACATAACAAACATTACTTATATTTAAAATTTTCATAAAATTTTCCTGTTTCCACCAAAAATATTTACCCCATAATCACAAATTATCAAGAAAATTATCTTTGCATTTGACATACTACCCCATTTTTTTCAATAAAATAATTAAAAATTTAGACTAAAGGTAATAGTCTTCAATGTCTGACCATTTTTTAAATAGATGTTCGTATTTTTCAAAATAACGATTTAATCAACTGGGTGCACTTTTACTAACTAGTTGACTCCTGAACAATCCCCTCTAGTGTTTTAACAACAACCTAAAGCATTTGGAGAAATGAGTTTTCAACACTTTTAAAACCAGACTCATGATTTAATAGAAGGTAGTGTAAGAAAAAAAACTTCAGCTTTTTTTATGCATACAAATGAAGCTTGGCAAGTAGAAAAGAGAAGCAACTGACGAGTGACAGGCCCAAATTCTCAGCTCATCCATGACACAGGTAAATTATACATCGTTGAAGCACAATGTTGCCAGACAATTTTACCTCGCTGAGCTAGATATTTACAGCAATCTGCAAAACCGCCCATGGCCGCGTAATGAAGTGGTGTGTTCCCATTCATGGCAATCAGTCCCATGTCTCCGTTGTAGCTAAAAAGCAGCTTCAATATCTGAAAAATAAAGAGTGGATATTGTAGAGGAATAGGAACATATCTGTACTAAATGAAGACAGGCACCTAGGCCTGCACCATCCAGGATATTGCATATTACCCACATGTGGCTACTGAAGATTCAAATGGAAATGAATTCAACTGAGAAAAATTAGAAGCATAGTTTCTTAGCTTTGCTAGCTACATTTAAAGTACTCAGAATTGGGTATCAGCAGGTGGCATAGTGATTAGGGTGCTGAACACTCCCACATGGTCGACCACAGTTCAAATCCTGGGCCTGGTGGCTTGCTTGCTTTCTCTCTCTCTGTTTCTATGTCTCCCTCTGTCAAATGAAAATAAATGATGAATAAATAAAATTAAATAAAATAATTTAAAAAATACTTAAAAGCTATATGTGGCTGCAGTGCTGTCACAGATATAGAACAGTTTTTCATCACTGAATGTTTTATCAGATAGCATTGATCTAGAGAATATAGAAAACTCTATATTAAGATGGGGCATCAATATTTTGGTAAAGGTAAGGGAAGTTAAGAAAAATATTAGAATAGGGCAAACCTCAGGGGAGCAAATTCTTTCCCAAATGTGACTTCTATTGTTAGGCATAATTTTACTACAGGAAAGAGACTTTAAAAAGTGACAAAAATAAAGATAACTACTTCTTTTTTCTTTTCTTTTCTTCTTCTTTTTTTTTTTTTTTTCCCCATAGAATGCATGTGCTGGCTAGAGAGGAGAGAGACAGAGAGTCAATGAGAGGGAAAGTAAGAAGTCACCCCCCCAGAAGATATGGCCACATTGCAATCTCTTCTCCTCCATTCTCCTCCAGAGATTTTGGGCACATGTGCCCAGTGAGAGTTTCAAACATCCAGGTCCAGGACTCTAACCACATCAGCCATGTGAGAATCCAGCACTATAAACACTGTGCCACCTGGTGGCCCCAAGATAACTCTCTTAACACTCAAAACTGAAGAAATTCTAGAAGAAATTCTAAGTTAAAAAAATAGGGTAGTCAGGACCTATGGATGGTTTAATGGTTGCGTTGTTGGACTCCCACATAGTTGAAAGTGTTTCAAGTCTCAGACCTGGTGGATTAAAACTCACACCAAGCCCACGTGAGTGTGCCCAAGATCCCAAGTGGAGAATGGAGGAGAAGAGATTGCGGCATGGCCCTGCCCCCAGGGGTGATTTCTCACTTTCTGTCTCTCTGGCAAGTACATGTACCTTATAACAAAAATCTCTCTAAAAAAAAAATAGTATTAATTACTGTTTTGTTTCTGCAATGTTACTGTATCTATGAGAAATTCTTTACTGACACATTCAGATAATCGGAGTACTTGCAGTTTAAAATTCAGGTGTATTCTTATATACACATAAATGTCAGGTATGTAAGAATATGACAGCACTGTTCTCCCCACACATAGATCATATTACAGTTTGAAGATTCTAATACATGAAGGAAACGTAATATGGGGTAGTTTTGGTATGTGTACATTTTTCATTGTCATGGTCAAATGTACTGAAAAATAGTAGTAGTAATGTTAAGTGAATAAATCAATAAGCAGATAAAACTGAATAAAGTGCTAGAACATAAAATATGTTTTTAAAGATATAATTTTGGCATTGTTTAGGGAAAATTAAGATGAAAACAACACAGGTAACTTAGAAAAAATTCTAGCTTAGTGCACCTATATGATATATAAAAATTTTGAGAAAAGGAGAGAAAAGTTTTAGTGACAAATGTTAAAACACAGGGCATATTATTACATCAAAAAAGCCTCCTTTGGCAGCAAAATGAGCAGCGTGATGTCTGTCATTGTCAAATGCATTCACGTCACCTCCTCGTTCCAATATCCCTCGAACTACTTCCAACACCCCTTCTCTTGATGCTTCCATTAAAGCTGTGCGTCCTGTGGACTGGACAAACAAATCAAATATTGTTTATTCCTGTGATCTGAAATAACATATTTGGTATAAAATGTTATGAATATACTCAACTTTAGTTTGACAAGCTTAGTTCTCTACATTTTTTCTTAGTTTCACAATGCAAAGAAAAATTAAGCAAGTACAATGGATTAATGGTTAAAATGTAGAATTCCAAAACGAGTCAGGAAATTAAAAAAATTTTCTGTCATAGCCCAAGTGAAATGTTCACATGAGAACCTCATGCTACAGTAATGCATTTCTGGTGAAGAAAAGAGAGAGAGAAAGCAGGAAAATGGGTGAAATGTGCTAAAATGAGGTTGATAGTTTTTCAAATGGGAAGAAAATCTATTTTTAGTGTCTGAAAATTATAAAAGACAATGCAATGGAATGAGTCAAATGAGGAGAGGTAACAAAATGAATAAGAGAAACAGGACTATATTTTCCCCCCAAGAATAATATGTTTATTAGGCACCAGTGATACCTTTTCTACTATTTTTTTATGATCATATTTTGACATTGCACATCATAAATACCAATTTTACCAACATAATTAGGAAACAGATTGTGGAGTCATGGCAATAGAAGATAATGAAAGCACATCATTTTCAAGCATGATGAGTTGAAATGAACAGTCTATAAGCTAACAGGATAGTTTTTAGCTTATTTAAATGCAAAAATTATACTGATAAGACAGTAATTGGAAAAAGAAATATGTATAATCACAGGAATAGTCATACTGTGTTGATAGCATTTGGATTGGCTCCTTTCTCCAAAAAGGTCAGGCACACGTCTTTAACATCATGTGCATCTTCACAGGCTCTGAGGAATATTGGTTTTCCTTCATAGGTAGAATTGTTGACATCTGCACCATGTTCAAGGGCAATCAGAGCACAGCGATAATGCCGCTTAGTAGGGAGGATGCAGTAAAACAAAACACCTGCCAAAAAAAATAGAATCCCCAAAGGGTACTTAGTTAAAGTCTGGCTAGGTTAGAATCTAATAGGAGGGAAAATCTGATGAGGTAAAAATCCATAGTTAGATAGTTCAAGATGGTAAAGCAAGCCATATCTGCTTTGGTGTCCCTTCTGAAATAAACACCATGACAGATTTCTTTTTTTCTTTTTCAGATCATCTCTGAAAGAGCGAAAAACCAGCCACAACCACAGGTGACAGCACCTAGTGTA